CCGAATCTACATTAGCGGACAGCGTAAAGGATGATGACACTCGTGGCTGTGATCTCACGATCTCACTTCTACGACAACGAATCATCTCGACTCGCGTACTCGCTCGCGAAAAGCTTCGGTATGCTTGAATGCGAGATCGAGATTATATCTCGGCTCTTATTAAAAATCTCGTTATCATAACACGTTTACGGTAATATAGCGATCATTTTATTTTACACATCTCCTTACATATCTCGTACACGCTAGACTGCTAATACGAATAATGGGAAAGGATGAAGGTGCCTCATTGCCTCCCCCCAACGTCGGCAAACAGCGACGTTATTATAGTACTTCAACGTGCCCGCGACAATCGCCATAACAATCTCGTCCTCCCGCGCTCTCGTGGCCTTTTATATTTCACAGTTACTTAAATAAATTGCTCTTCACGTGTCCCGCAATGATCGCGCGTTCGTCGTCGCCGGGCGAACCAATAACGCGCGCGTTCGGCTTCTTATATATAATATATGTATGTATCGTAGTGATTTCTCTTAATTTTATTATACACACATTCCACTTTCATAGTCTTTTCCGCCTCGGTAATATATAGCGAGATCGATATAACGAGAAGTGTCATTACGAATTGTATCATTAAATATTTTTATATTCATGCACACACTGAGTAAAAGAATACTTGAACATCTATTTGTGGGTTATAAAGTGTACTTCTACGAAACAAAGTTCCATTTGTGCGAAATGAAGTTTCCCAGACGGACTATGATTATCACGAAGTGGATGGGACAATCGATGATGGAACAATTTTTTTAATTACACTCATGAAGTAAATATATCGTATTGAAGTAAGTATTAAATCGACATCATACAATAATGTAAATTCTTGTATTGATGCAGCAACAAATTTATTAAAAGTTATACTCATATTTTCATGTTACATCTAATATAACACTTTATTTGGAGCAAATTCTGAGAAATTTCTTTCGTATTTCTATGTGATAAATATGAGTGTAATCTGATCAGTCATAAAGAACTGAAAGTTGCTGAATTAATATATTTAGGCCCGTATATTACATATATATAACGTTATTATATTTAATAATTATTACTTAAAATTTATCTCAAGTAAGGTACTTAAGGTACTTAAGGTACTTAAGTAAGGTACTTAAGTACAAGTAAGGTTTTAATTCAGAGTTTAATTCAGAGATTTTCAGTTGAATCGCGCGATCATAGATATAAATGTCACGCATGTTATAATTCAACTGAAAAACTTGAAGCTGACTGTGAATGAAAATCTGAGTATCTCATATGAGACAAGTTTCAGACAACGATGCAACTATTAATGTGGTTCTTAATACTTCTTGTAAAGTTTAAGTCAGTCTATCGGGAAATTATTATTTTGGCGAATAAACTGTACATTCCACAAATAAATCTTAAAGCATCTTTTTCTCCGAGTCTACGGAAAGGTGATCGCTGTTGACGAATGTCTCTTTCTCAAACTTCTCACGTCGTAAAAAAGTCGCGACGGATGTGTATATGTATGTATATGTGTATATGCGTGTCTTATTGATGTTGGCAATATCAAATTTATCAAAGTGTACCTGGCGCATGAAGGGTCACACGGTATGCGTTCACTCTCAGACAGCCGATCGAGTCCTCGAGATCCTAGGCATTCTAAGTGGCAGCGAGTAGCATGAACAAACTCGACGAAATGTCGGTATATCTTTGGTGTCTTCCGCCGTCGATCCACATGAGCGTAATGTTCATCGTCAAACACCTCTCCCGCATCGGTGAACGCGTCGGTGTACCGTCAGGAAGTCCACGTCCACGAGCTGAAAAGCAGAGGATAATCTCCCGCGCGTGATCGCGCCGAGATCGTCTCAGGATCGACAAGAGCGCGTGAAATCCGAGGGATGAGAACACGAGATGTCCATTGACACCTGACGAGCGAGGCTTCTCGGGATTCTCGCCGCGGCCTCGCGTGGTGTCGAGTCGATCGGTCGAGCGCGTCAACGCGAGCCTACTCGAACACACTCTCGGCGGCTTCCCGGATCTTCACGATCAGGAAGGAGCGTTTGCAGAGCTTGACCAGCAGCTCGATCCTCTGTCAGGACGGCTTTCTGAGCTGCGGCAGGGCGATCAGGTAGACGTTTCCGAGGACGGCGCCGACGATCAGCAGCATCACGCTCACGGCCGACAGCAGCCGCACGAATCGCACGAACCTGCGACCCCGGGCGTCCTTCTTGCTCTGCTTCGGGAACACTGCCAGACCCAGCAGCGGGCCCGCCAGCGCGCCCGCCACGTGGGCCGCCCATCCGACCCGGCCGCATCCGAGCAGCGCCGGGATCGGCAGTGACGCGACGTCCGCGCCGGCCAACAGCAGCACGGCGCCGAGGCGCCAGCCGGCGTAGCGCAGCTCGCCGTGGCACTGCAACCGAACGAGAAAAGTGCAGCACGGACGATTAAGGGCACTCGACCTCTGCCGAGGGTCACTCAGCGCTTCACCAGGGCTCTCTCGCGATTGCGCGCGACGAAGAAATATTGGAGGAAACTACATCCCTTAAAGGTGTATTGCCCGTATCTCGAAAGTGATAGACGCACCCGCCACAATTCATTTGACATTGTTTCAGAGTCTAAATCTCGAAAGTTGCTCCACTTTTAAATGTGAGCCCAGCAAACACGATGACGTCGAATGACGTCTTCAGCGTCAATAATGCGTTACTGATACATCATTTGACGCCATCTTGCTACTTTGAAGTATTTTAAACCGCGCTGTTTTATGCTGCTGTTTTTAATAAAGGAAAAAATAAATAATGAGACAAATAAAATATTTTGTATACATACACTTTAAGTTTTCAAAATGGTGTATGCATAGTTCCTCTCTGGTTCAGAAATAAAAATTTTTTTAAGTCGGCAATAACATAAAATAAAGCAAATAAACTATAAAAATGTGATATTGAAGTAAAAATATGCTGTTATTCAACTGTATCGTACATACATGGAATGAGTCAATCAACATTGGATTTCAAAATACTTTATATTTCTGTTATTTTTATATTGGAAGAGAATATATAAGGAATAAATTGCGTAGCTAAAAGGGGTAAATATTGCAGCCAGCGACACATTCTAATATTTTTTCCTAATATTAAAAATAACAGAGATGTTTTAAAATCTAATTTAGGTGACTCACACGTATGTATTATACGTTTTTATACAAAAAATGGATATATTGGCGTATTTCTAATTTTCAGTAAGTTTTTGTAAAGACTATACGCGCAATACTTCCTTAATTAATGATCTATTTTATTGTAGGAAAGACTGGGTCGACTAAAGACCTATGTCGGCTATACATTTTGTTTATGTATTTATTATGAGAGCAACAATGGGCAAGGATGTCGTAAAATGTTCTTTTTAGAACATATAAAAAATATCTATGTTCTAAAATGATCCCTTTTGCGATCATTTTTCGATCCCTTTTTCCTTTCCTTTCACTTTCCTTTAGTATCACTTTATTTAAATACATGAATGAAACGTATGGCCAACATGACCTTTCAACTGACTGTCCCGGTTTCCCCTACTTGTGCTTTCGCATTTCTATTCTCGCGCTGCCTTGATATTGCGTAACTGAAGGAAACCTCCGTTTACAAATGATGATTATTATTCAAACGGGTAATCGAAGTTCCAAAGGGAGTTGAACGCGATCGGGGAGATTGGTATCTCTCGGAACGAATGCGAAAACTTCGATCGTAGGCGCAGCGCGATGGAGTGATTAAAGCGGCCGAATCTCCGGGGGTTTTCGCGTACGAACGCTCTACATTCGCGAGGGTAGTCCGTTTATTCGCTACCTCTGAATAGGATTCGCAGGAGTATCTCGAGCGGAAACACTCCTGCACCCGCGTGTTTTCACAGCGTGGCTTCTTTTGTAGCCTTTTCCCCGGTTGCCGTGATATATATATGCATACACACACACACACACACACACACACACACACACACATATATGTATGTGTGTGTGTTGCGGAATGTACGGCGTGGATTTTCAGAGAGCACGGGTCGTTGACGAACGGTTTACGCCGGCGACCGAGTTTTCGCTCTTAGAGAGCCAAGAAAGAAAAAGCGAGAGAGCCTGTTCTAGCTGTTCTTACCAGGTAGAGATGAGCGAGGTGGCTCGTGAGCAGCGCGTAAACACCCGCCGAGGCGCCGACCAGGTAGAGGCTCGGCTGCAGAAGCGACGCGCCCAGAGCGCCGCACACCCCGCCGCCCAGGTAGATCGTCGCAACCCCTATTCGCCCTTGTTCCACCTACAATCACGAGCTCTTTACAATCGAGCCCGTTGCTCTCGTCTCGTATGTGTGCGACTTTACGATCTATGCGTGTATCGGTCTCGTCCTAGTTGCTTATCGTTGGAACATTGCGGCGAAAATCCTGGCCTGATTAAGCAATGAACATCACATCTAATTGTACTTTTGTACTTGGTTTGTACTATATATAAATTTTGTTTTTCAATTTTATTTCCTTAAATTCTGCTCTTCAACTTTGCTTTCTTGAATTTTGCTCTTCAATTTTGTCTCGTCATATCAATTTTGCTCTTCAATTTTGTTCCCTTATAATTGTGGCTCTTTAATTTCATTTTTTGGAATTCTGCTCTTCAATATTGTTTTCTGAAATTTTGCTGTTTAATTGCGTTTCCTTAAATTATGTTCTTCAATTCCGTTTCTTCAAATTTTGCTCTTGAATTTTATTTCCTCAAAGTTTACTCTTCAATTTTGTTCGCTTAAATTTTGCTCAAATTTAAGTTGTACTTGTTAATTAACGTGTAAAATGAGAAGAAGAAAGACGTGATTACGGATACTTAATTAAATGGAATAATTCTCTTCATCGATGTCCTGATAATTAATAGAATATTTCTTCATCGCGCTTGAGTTAATTGCATTAACGGAACGTCAATGCGCGTCGACGTCGCATAATAATTCTCAGCGAACGTTGCTCTAAGGGGACACGCCGACACGAAATACCCAAGTCGTATCAGAGCAGCGCCGTTTATCGCGTTATCATACGATGGCAACAATTTAATTCGCCGATATGCGAATGTTATCCGGTCTAATGGCGGACAAAAAGCCTCGCTATCTGGAGAAAAGGCTCGTTCCCTTAAACGCGGTGTCTCGACACGCTGCCTGAACGACGTCCCCGCAATTTACTTGATTGGCTCACCTCGAGTGGAGTGGCCAGGACCAGCTGAATGACCACGTTGAGTGCGAGGTGAAGTGCGTTCGAGTGCAGCAGCATGTAGGAGGCGAACCTCCAGCCCTGCACCCTCTGACGGGGATCGTAGACCAGCCATCTCCGTAACGTCGCCTCGTCTCCCAGGCAGTGGACGGTTATCTGTTACGAGTGAAAGCACGTTTAATGCGCTTGCCTGTGCTCATGCGGAATATGCGGAAAGGCGCACAGCCACGGCGAAACAGCGCATATTCAGGCACGGGAAATAATTACACGCCGCCGTGGAGGGACACGTCAGACGGCTGGAGATGAAATTAATTGCGATCGGACACTGTCTCCTCCCTGAAACGACGCGCGTTGCAATGAATTGTTCGGTACACACCAAACCTCCCGTATGATCTTTCCGTCGTGATAACGTTCACTTCGTTTTTGTTTTGTTCATCGGGTTAATGCAAAAGAGAGATTTGCCATTGCTTTCTCTACTTCATTACTTTCTCACAGTATAGTAAATTTTGATATCAAGAAGAAAACAGGAATTTCTTGTTAAATGTCTAAAAGCAAAGTGTTGTTTGTTTTATTCGTAGAAATTACCAGTCCTCCGAAATAGAATAATTTCGTTTTCATTCCATATCTTACTTGATAAACATGACAAATCTTTTGCACCAATCTAATGTTATGTAATGATTTAATATAATTATCATTCGCATTGTATAGTCGCAGCGTGATTATTATCCTTACATTTTCCGGCTATATAATGTTACCGAACTTGACTTTATGACATTATGTATACGCAGAAAAATATCATTTCACAGTTAAGAAAAGCGATTGCTCGATTGCGAGTTTATTTTTCTTCTTCTAAGTAGTGATTACAAACAATATTTTTTTATAATAATAATAGTCTTAAGATATATATTCAAAATTTAAAAAACTCATCAAAAAAATATTTGAAAATTTTTCGTGAACGCAAAAATAAATTGTATTTCATAGAAATAAAGTTAAATCAAAACAAAAAAAATTTCAAGAACATTTTCTCAGTGTATAAAAAGAGAATTTATTCTTTTTGCAAGATTATAATAATTACTGAATTTTTTGTTTCAATATTCTTGATTAAAATTTCAAACTTGCTAAGATTTATAATTTATTTTGAGTGTAAATCTTATGCTTATGATGAAAATCTATGATAAATTTGCTGATGTATAAACTTACAAAATATACTTGAAACAAGTAACATTTACTTGAATGCAGTATATATCTTCCTGTGTACATGTATCCATCGTTACACACGGCTGATGTTTATGATCGAAATGTTTCGTCGCGCAATGGTGCCCCGGCAGAAAAGAAACTCTCTCCCGTACACGACTGTCGTGGATAAATTCGAGATGTGCGACGGCACAGCGCACTCGGTATCGCAGAAGCTAAATAAAGATACGCGAGTACATGAATTAAGCGCTATCCCAGATTCTCTCCGCGGAGGTGCCGGCGCGCCAGCTATTTCCGTAACGACACTTAGCTCTCTCCAGGAAGCAAAGTGGCCTTCTGGTTACTCGTTGCGACAGGAAAACATGTTCTGCGCGTCCTTATGGCCGGGAGCGGTACGAAGAGAACACGCATCTCACGTACTTTTGGACGCAACCGAGTGACACGACAGCTAAGATAATCACATAATGGACCACATGGCGCTCCTCTTCATTCATTTCTGAGAATATAATATATTCCCGCGAACATCGAACGACGACGACTAGGTTCTTCACTTCGAGAAAGCAGAAACTACTTTAAGATAAGAAGAGGAAAATAATGAGAGAGTTGATAGCTCCAAGGAAAAAAGCGAATTGAGCGCATTGAGTGACTCGGAGAGAAATGTTCTAAAATACGATCCACGGATCAATCGTTTTTTTGTCGAATTAGCCTCACTCAGTGCGGAGTTTTCTGTGCAAATTAAACAAAACTGCAAGTTCTTTGCAAATCAGACTTGAACCTGTAATTTAGGTAGATCTTGCTAAGAGGGCGAAATAAACGACCGCGTGCATTTGCGCTGAACGCTGTACTATAATCCATGATAAACCGCACGCTGTATAACGAATAACACGATACAAAGCCTCGCATTTGAACCATATCAAAGGCAATCAATCGCATTATCGATTGCGATGATTTACGAAGATCCCGTAAAAGCAGTCCCCACGTATTTCGAGGGACGGGGAGGAGGGGTGGAGACGCGATATCGGGGATTTCGTTCAATATTAATCTGCATCGCCGGCACCTACGCGAAATATTTATGTTACAGACGTAGAGTCGGCGCGCGCTATTTATCAGAGAGTTTAATAACTTGCTCTCATCCGATTACACTCGGAATTTATCGTAAACTGTAATAAAGTACAGCCAAATGCGCATACATATATACATCCTGTGCAGAGTGAGTCACCGAACATTAGATTTTGAAATATCTTTGTTGGTTTTTGTATTGGAGAAAAATATGCAAAGAATAAATTGCGTAATTGGAGAAAATAAAATATTGTGCTCAGACCACAACTCAATTTATTCCTTACACATTTTCCTCTAATAAAAAAAAAAGAACAGACATTTTAGGATCTAACGTAACACCCAGAAAAAGGATTAGCCGCAGATGCTGAAATATAGCTATTACAACTACATCTGTCATTGAAATGGGGACAGCTAATGTCGTCGCTACCAAAGCTAAATTTATCTGCTATTTGGCGCTACAGCAAAACATATCCGCTGCTAGATGCACGCAATAATAATAACATTATATTCCTACTTCTAACTAGGTATTTTATTATGCTTTTAACTGAAATATACCTCAAGCATCTAAGTTACACATTTTTTCGCCTGTAAGTGACTCAGCCTCTGTACGATGACGCGAAGTGCAGCGTGTGTGTCTCTGGAGATCTCTAAAAAATAATGCTCTAACGACTGCCGCTCTCCTCTTTTTTTTTATCTCCTTTCTCTTTTTCTTCCACACCTCCACAAGGCGCACGCGTCCAGACACTCTCGCCGGTAAATCACACGTGTCAGCAGGTGCGCCGCTCTTTCGGAGGGTTGATACCTTCCTCGACTATCCATTCCGACGTCCCGGTTTTTACGATCCCGTCTAGGTTTCGACGTCGTTCGTGCTTAATGCGCTTTTATGCCGGCCGCCTTGGACAGGCAGTATCCGCCGAGCGCTTAAAATCCGACGCTCGTTTACCCATCGCGGACGATCGTTCCCGTTCCCATTCGGCGCTCTCATCGCGCGATAATATTTTAATTCGACGAACGTGTCCGCGACAGCGGCGAATGCGATTGACCACTTTATCGCCCGATCGCGCGGTGAAGTTCAACGATGCGTTTGGCGCGATGTTGTCAATCACGCGGCACGCAGTGCGATTTGTTCCCGCATTCTGTCCGTGATCGACGATAACGCGCAAGTGTGTGAATTTAGAAATTAATAATAATTAATAATAATCATGTCTTTCCAAATGGACACGCGTGAAGCGCACAATTATTGGGATCCTCCTTGGCAGCGTTGGGCATTAAATCCTTTGAACCATATATTTTATTTCTCGGTAAAGTTTCTTCAGATTTGCCACAAGGAAGGATTTCGCGGTCGCTCATTATGAATTTGAGAAAATAAAGTTAAAATTCGAAATAGTGGATTCAATATGGCGACCGTAAGTTTTCAAAATTAGCAATCTCGCTTTTAACATTCCCGAAATAGCCCGAAATAACGATATTTCTTCGATATGAAAAAAAAAATATTTGCGTTTTTTACAAGAAACTGGTAACAAACATATTATCAGTAATACACGGAAAAAGAGAATGGTTAAGTCAACCAGAAAATTAGTAAAGTAAGGCATAGTTTTTTCTGGCTTCAAGAATTAATTCTTGACTGCGCTGACCTATCGATTCGTCGCTTCGAAAATACATTTTTTCGAAGCGACGAATCGTAATATACTCTCTTAAAATAAATCAGTCAAATATCACTGCAAATAGTGAATATACATTGATTTGCAGTTATAAGTAGAACACTGAAAGTGCTCAATGCTATACTTATAACTGATATCAGTGACTGATTCGCTGATTCACTTTAAAAGAATATAATATCGCTAGGTTAACCGAGAATTGGTTACTGACTCAGAAATAAAAACTGTCATACTATTTACTATTTTTTGGTTGACAGAACCATTCTTTTTTCGTGTGCGATTTCTATTTTTTCTTTTTTCTAATATAAAAAGAACGGAGTTATTTGTTTTACAGTTTCTATTTCTTCTATTTCTTTTAGCGAGCAAGCGACGAGTTATTTCACGAATTTTTCATAAGATCTAATTATTTGTTAACGCAAATTTTAGCCGTTCACTTTGCTCAATGAGCTGTCACTGCGCACTCCGTTTCTCCCGGTTGCCCAAGGGTTTCGTTCGCCCGACTCGACTTGACGAATGATAATGAGGGAGGATTATTCGAGCGAGGGCGAAACAATATGCAGATGTTTATTGTCAGGCGCGCCATGTGTCAGCCTGACGCGCGATCACAGTCAGTGATTTCGTCCCATGCGGTGTTCTAATTCAGAATTCTAAGCAAATATTTGCAGTCGTCCATAATTGGTGTGCGTGTGCACGTGTAGGTGTGTGCCGCCCGACGAACTCGGAACTACGGTCGGAGTTCGTAATTATGGAGACCCTCGCATCCTGCACAACACAGGAATTTCATTTTCCTGAGGCGCGAGAAAAGAACGTAATATCGCCGTGGTGGTGTTCGCGATCGCGCGAATGCAATATCGATATTCGCGGCATCCCAAAATATTGCGGAAAGAAATTTGGCTATCCTCGTCACCATGTCGTAACAGTTGCGACAACGTGAACGACAAAGTTCACATTACTTAACTTGATACGATATTGCCCTTAATAAGTTGTGCGAAGAAGTATGGAAACGGAGTTTACAATTAATTTGAAAAATTTTATCCGAATTATACGAGTAAAAATTGAATCTGGTATCCGAGAAATTTCAGAAAATACAAAATCGTATTTTTCCATATGGCTATTATGTAAAAGTATTATATACAAAGTATTATATACATAAATATATATGTATATATAAATATATATATAAAGTATTATATACAAAGTATTATGTAAAAGTATTATATACAAAGTTTACGCTAAGGGAGACAA